GCTCGTGCGTTCCTTCCTTCCTAAGCGCTGCCGAACCAACACTACAAAATTTCAGATGACTTCAGTTGCGGATGATTTTGCCGAGATTATGGAGCAAGTGGCGTTATTTACCACTTTCAGGATTTTGTCAGTGCTGAAATGCGCTGCCTTTGCTTTTTATCGAACCGAGCGGAGCGAAGTTACTGATGAATCAAGTGAAGACTGTTGTATCTTGCGACGGTGGCCTGAATCATAGAAGGCACGACGATAATCCATCAGCATGTAGAGCCGGCCGTTGGCAAATATCCGCCAGTATCGCGCTGAGATGAAAACCGGCGCGCGTCGCGCGATCGCCTTAAATGTAGCCATAGCCCGGTAAACGCCCACCGGTTGTCCAGCTAGCGACGACCGTCGGCTCCTGAAAGTAACAGTATTGCGTACTGGCCGTGTGGAAGCCGATGATGACAGCAGAATACAGAATAGAATGTGCATGGTGTGCTGCTAGCAGGTAGGTGCGCGCTTTGTCGTACATAGGCTTCACATCGTGGCATTTAATCCTTTCCTTAAGTCGAACAACGAACATCGTCATTGTCAACGTGCTGTTGCACAGTACCCTCCAATGATCACCTGACCGTCACTTATTCCTCGTCACAACCCTTAAATCAACCTCATCAGACAAAGTCAACGTATACCTGTCCATACCTTAGAGAGCGTTTTTACTGAACCCCTGTTTCAGATGGATCTCAAGAGTCTGATCAGCACGATACTGAATCCGTTGGCCGGTCTCAAGACGGTTTGCACGCTTCCGACCTTGCCGCAGCTGAACCTGGATTTTCTGCAGACGACGCTGCAGCTGGAAAACAGCTGGCGAGACATCGCCAGCAACCCTCAGGTAAGGCAGCTATGAGTCTAACCTAATTGTAATGAGTCTAACCCTCACTTTCCTTTCGAAACCGTCGCAGCGTAGCTTTGATGATCAAATCATTCCCCTAATCATTAAAATTGATCAGAGATCAGAGTAACTTGAACTTAGAAGATTCGTGTACTGTTTCCGGTTCATCCGCTGGCATTCTTCTTTGAAGTACGTGTGTATTGCTACTTATCAAGCTTGTAAATGCGACGCCTTTCTCTTGCGTAGAAGCATCTGTTTTGTATTCTCCATCTAAATGTGTTCACATACTTCTTCAAATACCTTGTCCGTTGTTCATTCTCAGGAATTTGGCGATAACTCTCTGACTAAGCGCGATAGATGTCGCTGTTGGCGCCCTTTGTATATTGAATGTATTGCCGATGGTAAGCTAAGTTCGTTTTTATGTATACAATAAACAATTGGTGGAAGATACGTCAAAAACTTAGAATAAATTTTATTTATTTCTATAGGGAAGACAGTACGGAATGATTACATACGAAAATCCAAATCCTTTGTCCCAATACGCAACCATATTATTAAGCTCTTAGATCAAGAGTGTTCAGCATTTGTATGTCTGGCAGCTGCATTGGCATAATGGCCCTTGAAATGAATTGCTTCGAGTGTATTGCAGACTTTCGAGCAATATTGTGGATATCAATGTGCTATTTTTCCAGTTCCCACTGTCTTTTAAGTTATAAAGTTAAAGGGCAAAGTTTATGCAGCCATCTTTTTGCACACCCTATTTATACTAACGCGTATCACAACTGAGCGAATCGATATAACAGATTTATTTTACATCATATAGTCTTTGGTTGGGATTTGAGGTCCTGGGGTTATTCAAGTTAAACTAAAGATAATATAGAGATCTGGCCACAGTCGATGGTACTCCAATTTACAAATCAAGCCTTGGTGATCGGACAGCAAAGATCGCACAAAAATTAAAGTAGGCAGTAGCATGCTTAAGAGAAGTGACATGAGGTGCATTTCCTTTAGCCGTGAGAACCTTCCATGAATCCAGTAATGATCTGTTAACAAGGGAATGAGAATCAATGGATTATGGACCTCTTTATTCACTGATTCATGACAAATGGGAGCTGCAATTTCATGAAATATTTCTAATAATTTTTAATCTCGTCCGTTAAATTCCGCAGGATGGTTTTATGAGGCGACATGTCATTTTATGTCGTGATAACAGATTAGAAGAAAGACATAAACAATGGAACCTTGGCAGAAAACCTAATAGTTTAGCTAGTTCAAAATTCCACAACATTAATACAGCAGAAATTTCACATGTGAACCAAAACAGTGGTCGCGCTCTGCCAACCATCTCTCTCAAGCGCCGAACATTTGTTTTATACTCACTCGACGAGCTTAAGGCCGGAGAAACTCGTTCAAATTGTTCAGTTAACGCTCACATGTGATTGATCGCATCTGATTGTCAGAGACTCGCCGACACTCTTCCGGTAGTGACTCAGTTGTTTGAAGTCGCCGCGTCAAAACCTCTTGGAGTTGGGTAATTAAGAGACTATTTCCGTCTGTGGAGGTAATTAATGATTGCGATATGTCAGCGTCTCTGATCACCTTCCAGAGCAATTGAAACAAACGATTCAAAGGATTCTGTTTCAGTCAGTCTATCCTAAGCGAGCAGTTCCCACGGTGGTCGTTTTAGAAAGCAAAGACAGGGGAACATCCATGTTATCAATATTCTGTCACTGTTACAATGCCACATGATGACTTTTACTGATACAGATGGCTAACATCAACTCAGCCTCTAGCATCACCAGCAGCTCCTTTTCCAGATGAATTGGAAGTTGATCCCCATAATTCAGAATGGCTCTGGTATCAAAGGAAAATATTAGTCGGAAAACAGGACTTTCAAGATCTGATATTGACTACAACCAGGTGGTTCCAGGTAATCATTGGCTGTCGCTCTTAAAACATGAGATTTTTGTCTGTGACTAAAGTACCATCAATTTCAGCCTCTATCTCGCTGGATCGGTTTTTCTGAAGTTTCATGTATTTAAATCTAGCAGCCCATCATTTCGTTTTCGGAAAACACATCATGTTGACTTCATTATAGATGATACACAATGAGCGTTTGCAGCGTATATCTACGGGAAAAGTTTGGGATCTGCTAATGTATTCCTTCGGCACTGTTTTATTATTCAGCATGACAACAACAATGAGAAGGCATGCGTTTGTATATTTCGAATTTCATTTTTGAACTCAGTCCATTTTTGAAAAAATCTTTACTCAAAAATCAAAGCAGCCAAACCTGCAAGAAACGCACCTCTGATTTGGGTGATCAAAAAAATTTTACTGATTCTCGGGTAAATAATTTTGTTGACTTTTCCTCATCTCCAGTCGTTTGCCGTCAATTTCGCATCCACAAGATTCATGCCTAACATCAGCGATTTAGTTGGCGTTGAGAAAAACACCAATCCAAAGTTGCATGGAACTTCCCATTGAAATTTTCAGGCACTGATAAACGGACTCAGTCTGTGGAAGTGAAACTTTGTGCTCTCAAATGAGTTCAGAAAATCCTAGTAATTTTAAAAGTCAGCAGCATTAGCGTTTGGTGTAGCTAATTGTGAAATCACAGCTAGTGATGCTAACTTCTAACTTCGGAGGTAAAGAACTCGAGCCCTGAACAAAATTTCTCATAACCGTTTATTTCCTTAAGCAAGGAACTAACCCTTGCTGCTTTAACGCACCCAGCCGAGTAGCTGATTGAAGGTGGTTGACATGTGACCTGCAGAATGGACGAGAAGTATGTAGATTCTGCCTGATATGAGTGGCTTTTGGGTGTGCAATTAGCCTTAACCCGCCTGATAGCCAACTATGTATTATGATAACTCGCACGAGGTGTAACCATTTCTCTCATCTTTCTTCTCTAATTATTGATTAAAAGTTAAAACACCACCCGTTTCAGTTCGTTCCACAGTCGGTTGCTGTAAATTGACAATGGCATCATTCAGGATTTAGATTCTCGTGCTCAACTACAGCAGGATACGATATGGGAATCGTTAAAGACCGAGCACGACTACATACTCGCGTTGGGGCTACTGGTGGAGGTAAAAAATAGCTTCGACCATTTGCGGACCAAGGGCTTCGCCGAAGGTGTCGATGGAAGCTCCGTGTTCGGTAACATAGCCGAAGTGTGCCGAGTTAACGTCGACCAATGGCTGAAGTTTTTCCACCCATTGCTGGAGACAGCTCGCCAGTCGAACGTTGCCATCAACCCCGAAAAGCTCACCGACATCTGCACCAACTTCGTCAACCTCTTCCAACCGTACGTTTCGTACTGCCTCGCGTACTCAGATCAAGTGGACTACATCAATAAGCAGATGAAAGTCAATGAAGACTTTCGGAATTTTCATGAGGTAAATGTAGAAATGTTTAGTCTCTTACGTGGCATCGTAAATCGGCTTCTGTTGATACGAAGAAGGGCTAAAAAACAGAGCTGAAACTTCGATGACTGATCGATCGAGCTTGCGTAAATATGAGACATTCCTTTTCATTGCATCAGACAGGATTTAGCTTAAGCTTCATATCTTCATATCTATTTGCTCACCTTTCGCAGGCTATTCATGGGATAACAAAAGGCGATACGAGTCATTCGATAAGTGGCTTTCAAAATCGAGGAAAACAAGTCTCCAAAGGAAAATCTGCTTCCTGATGTTGCACTAACTGATGTCCAACAGTTACGCTTGAACAAACGGAAGCATGCTGAAAATTGATTCAGCCGTTTTGCTACAGATATTTTCTCAGAACGATATTTTCTCAGACCCTAGAAACTACCATCAGTGGCATTTTCAGTTGTGTACGAAGGCTGTTATTTTTGAGCAGACGAAAACTACTTAAGGAATGTGGGAATTAACTACAAAGCAGGACAATATTTCTGTCTATAATCGAGCCTCATTCCCTTGAAAGTAAAAAGCGGCCATCAATCACAGCGTTGCATTATGTGAGAAGCCGTAGTGCTGGGTAATGCCAATAGTTACCGTAAAATTGTATCATTGACTCAGTAACGATCGGCTAAGCAGATGTATCAAGTCTTATTCATCAGGCTCTTTATGACTATTAAATTCGTTTTTCTTAAGATTGTAAATTAAACAGAAAGATTCAACAGTTAATAACTACCGTCAATCTGAGAAATAGCGTGCTCAAATATGTTCGGCATTCTGTTTACCATATAAATGGAGAAGAATGAATTGACTAGACTAGAACAAAGATCATCTGGACAGCATGATAGATAAAATTGGGAAATAGAGTGCCAAGACACTCCCTCGACAAATTCATAGAATTGATCTGGATTGACCGGTAATCGACGAAGCGAGGTATATCGCTGACCGCAGCCCTCCAAACGTTCTTCGCGGTTTCTAACCTTCATGCTCCAAGGGCGGCCTTTCCGGCTTTTGGTATAATCTTCCCATTGTAATGATGGCCGACCGAACGCTTTGATCCTCCGCGAGTATACCAGTCGACGATAATCGCCGACCATGTCCCGTCCGTGAGCCGAGCTACGTTCCAAGCAGACTGCCGCGTATTCCTTCCATTTTCGACGGCAACTTCCTTCACACCGTCTACTGTTTCATCATCGCGCTGGATGTGCGGTAGCAAGGTCAGATTTCTAAGATGCTTCTTTCCATAGCTCTCTTGATGATTGATAGCTGACGCTCTGAGTGACCAATCGTATTGACCTCGCAGAACATTCGATTCAGGTATTTTCTTTTTTAGCCCATTGATTCATAGTAAATTATTAGAATCACTGTCAATGAGTCATAGTTCCTCTCATCAAAGCATTACAGCTATCAGGTGAGACAATTCCTTGTGTATAATACGATCGGCGGTCCACAATCATTTGGTAAAGTTTTCTATTTCTACAACAGCATTTGCCATCATTTGTTATCAACAGCTGTTATCATGGCACTGAGAAAGTTCTACAACCCAGTGCAACGTATCTTTTCAGATTTACATTGAAACCCAAGCTGCATTCAACCGACAAAGCCTCGCCGAGTTTCTGCTGAAGCCCATTCAAAGGCTGACAAAGTACCCTTTGCTGTTGGAGAAAATGGGGAAATATGCATCTAATGAGACAGCGAAGAAAAGCTTTGAAGAAGCGGTAACGAATGTTTTAACGTTACAATTTCATGCTTTAACATTAGACGATAAAATTTAAATCTGAAAATTGCTGGGCAATGCAATTTCTGGAGATGACTTCGCTGAAATGCTCACAAGTTCCCATTAATCGTAGAAATCAACCTCGAAATGAAAATAATTTACAATTTTTTGAACAGATTAGGCTCCCACATGTTGCAGTAGTAGTTGTTACATATAATGTCTATAATAACTAGCTTTTATCCCAATAATGATGTTGAAACATGAAGGATCACTAGTTTCTGTCAATCAGATCCTCGCTTTCGATAGTTCTTCTTGATGTAAATGAAAAATTTCTTCTCCAGTTTTTCCTTCATAAAGAAAACATTCGAATTCGAACATGGCGCAAATCTTGAATGTTGTTCATTAATTAATAATTCCTTTGAGGTGGTCATTCAAGTCAGGGAATCAAGAGTAAACGACCCTGTGATGAACGACGAATGTCCTCAGAGAGCATAGTAATACCTGGACAATTGAAATTTGTCACATTTCAGTCGCAGAAGTTTTAACTCTCCTTTCGTTCAAGCAGAAGAGAAACCAGAAAACCTCGTTTTGGAACTGATGACAAAACTGATCTATGTGCTGGATTTTTATAACGCGCCATAGATTTAGGCATACCTTATAATCTACCCCAATGTCAGAACCAACTGAGCCTTAAAAATCAAATAAAAATATGATTGTCATGAATAGTTTCAATGTCCGCTTATCCCATCGGATCCAGGAGACAGGAACTTCACACTAGTGCCTCAAACGATCTCATCTTGCACCACTCGGTTGATCAAGTAATGAGGAGAAATTGTTTTGCCTTCCTCTCTGGGCGCATTCGCAAAACATGCCAAAATCATACATAAAATGAATATATGTTTAAATCGCTTTACACTTTAGACAAGGACAATCGAGAAATTCATCAAAATGATCAACTTCCAAATAAAGTACAAGCAGAAGTATACAGTGCTGCGCGAAATAATGGACTGCATCGTTTCCTACGATGTGATATGCACCACGGACGGCGAGTTAAGACAGGTAAACGTCAGATTTACCTCATGCACAGCTCACGTTTTCGTCAACAGATGCTCAACAGGTATAACGTCATCAACCTCCTTGAACCAATGCTTGGTTGTAAAGAAGGCATGCTGCGTCGTTGTGTCCGAAGCGGATCCCTGATGATTAAGGAAAACAACGTAAAAGTGGGTTGCCATTCTCGTCTCACACATTGTTGGCTTTCTAGCACACTGCTTTAGACCGACGTTTACTGTTTGCTGTTCACAGATATGTTCCTGACATGTAAACTGGCGAAGCCCTTCAAGATGTCAGAGGATATCAATAGAAAACCAAAATTCAGGGTGATCCTACCAC